ACACTACATAAGAAAAAATAAAATTATTTGTAATGCCAATGAAACTATTAGATGTATATGCATACTTTAATCTTATCAATTTAACTTTATTAATTTCAAGATAATTTGAATCATAAAAAATGGATAAATTATATAACAACCAGGAAGCCAATAAACTAAGGAAACCAACTAAAATGCTGACTTTAAAATATGCAATTAAGTAAACTATGAGACGTGGCAATAAAAAAGTAGAACAAAAACTAGAATTTAGAGTAACACATCAGGCTTTAATTAGTTGGATAATTATATAAAAACTATACTTCATACAAGAAACTATATCTTCACATAAGGACATATATGGGCATTTTAAAAATGATGAATTTTGAATTTTCTGCACTTCTATATATTCTTTCCCATCATTTCCATAATGCCAATTTTTTACCCAACCTTCATATCATTGCACAATAAAAAGTATTTTAATTACAAGTTTTGCTTCACATGGAAGAGTAATCCTTAATTATTTTTAATCAATCAATCAATCAATAAAATATATGAGCACAGTGGTATTTGCAGGTTACTATCATTCAATTCAGGAATTCACAAGAAATGACTCATATTCAAAAACGACTGGATTCATCCCCTTGTGCAGGTATTTGATACATTACAAGCTTCTTAAAGTTTATTGTCTAACGGTGTACAAATGGGAAAGCATAGAAAAGAATGCCAATTGGTCCTAAGAGGGTAGCAAGAACCTAAACTATTTAGGAACAGGCACATTTATGGATAGTACCACTGACAAAGTAATTATCTCAGGAAAAAGCAAAAACAAACAAAATACAAACAAAAACGCCCCACTGCCTCCCAAGATCTTGTTTTTCTACAGATTTTCCCCATGTAAGTCTCCTATTCTTTCTACAGAAATCTAGCGTGATGGTAGCCTGAGGTGTTATTAGTGCAGTTTTTTCAGTGATATTCAACTCACACAAAAAATAGGCAGATAATTTATTATTATTTGAAATCAGCCTTTGCCTTGAGGTTGCGTGATGTTGTTTAATTGTATTGCTGTTTTCTAAAAAAGTATTTTCCTACCCTTCAATTATAAGATTTTTTTAAATTGGGTTTTTAAAATTTTAAAGGTCTTTAATAATAAATTATCCACAGCATGTCTATTGCCAACCACAGATGCTATCTCACCCAGTGCTGCTTTTAAAGTTCTTTATAATTAATCACAAAATTAAGTGATTTGAGTTTTAGAAAGTTTGTTTCCATACTTAATCTATTGTTTCACCTTCTACAGATATACATGGTTCCTAAAAATATAGTATGAAATTTGAATATACATTTTAAAAGGTCATGGAGAAGTATAAATGCAAAGGTTAGATATAACACTCAAATTGATCTTAATGATAGTCATGCACATGTTCAAATATGTTTCCTGTCCTTTCTTCCATCACTTCCCTAAACACATTTTCCAAAGTCTAATTCACAGTTTATTTCCTCTATCAAATAATACTATTATTTCAAGAGGTATTAAAGAATACCCATAGGAAACATTGTGTTCTAGGGAGAGCCAATAAAAATATTAAAAGATTTAGAGCTAGGCTTCAAGGAGTCCATTCGAAAGAGAAACAAATCACTGTAAAACAAACTTGCAAATTTGTTAATGGAAATATGCAGAGAATAGTACTTAAATAAAGAAAGTGATTGCTCATTGTGTTCTGGAATCAAGGAAAGGCTTTATACATTCAGTGAGGTATCATATCCAGTAGGCATTCCATAGGGAATTAAATCACAGGACAGCACAGGACAGCAGCTGGGATGCAGGATTCTAAGCAGGTACAAAAGGTAGAAACAAGACATCGAAGTGACTTGCAGCAAAGTGCCTAGGAAGACTGCAAGCAGTTTGAATTACTAAGAGAAGACCAAGGGAGACCAGGATTGAAGGAGCAGTGGGTAAGGAAGCCAGACAAATATGTGCACAGAGGCTTCATCAAGATCTCGATAATTACATGTAGGAGGTTGGAATTTATCTGGTAAGCCATTTTTTAAAATATCAAAATGCTTGAAGCAGGAGAGGGCCCCGTCAGATTTTTTTTTTTTTTTTTTTTTATGTTTGAATCACTAGAGGCTTCCGAAAAATACTTTAGAGAAGTACAGTTTCAAAGATGGTAATGCTACCATTTTACTACTTCATCTTAGCAGGGAGCAGCATACAGATAAGAGTGTTTTGATGATGTGAAGAGACTGCTGCAAGGAAAATGTGCCAAAGAAATTGTGAGGAAGTGGAATGACAAAATATGGCATTGCTTGAAACAGAGGGAAAAAGAGAAGTCATAGACGAGCCCTAGAGAGGTTAGCATAAGAATTCATGATGTTGTCTCCTTGAATACCCCAACTCCACACTACCTACACAGCTGACGACAAATGATTAGCACACTTGATTAACTTCCCAAACTACAAACTCTTAACAAAACGGCCTCTCCTATACAGGATTATCTATATCAGTTGAGATGATTCACATAAAATACCTACCACAGAGTCAGGCACATACTATTAACTCAATAAACGTTAACCAGTTATTATCATTAATATTCCTAGGAATTCCAAGTAGCTGATGGCATCACCAAACAAAATAGAACACAATAAGTGGTTATGAGTTTAGTAAAAAAGATAATGGGCTTGGCTCTGGAAATTCCAAATTATTATGGAAGAAGGCATCCACGTGGAAGACCAGTATACTACACTATCTATGCGATCACAGGCTACTTTTGGGAAGATCAATAGTATAGTAACCAGACCACAAAAAGTGGGGCCAACAATATCTTAGGAGCAATGAAAATGTATGACTTGTAGAAAGCAGATTGGAAATGGGAAAGGCACGAGTGTAACATGGAGAATACGGTATCACAGAAGGTACTGGAAAGAGGAAGTTTGAAGACGACAGTGGTTAGCAGAAATACAAGTCAAAATGAAGTCAGAGCAGATCACTGCAATTGTGCAGTAGACTTGGACAATGAGGTTGTTAGAGCCCTACTGCAACACAGGTGCAAGCTAAGAGTACGAAACCAAAAGCCAGCACACTGAACATGCACCAGTGTAAGAGTTAAAGACAGTGAATGGAAATTGCTCTTCCTAAAATTTCCATAAAAGCACTAAGGAAAGCCTTTACAGTAACCCACATGATTTCAGGGGAGCTGGGAGGGGACCGTATGCATTTCCAGAGTATAGCGGTTGTATTTGGTTTTCATTATTGTGGAAATTATCTAGAAAAGAGCAGAGATTATTTTGGAACAGGAAGTGACTCAGGACAAGACAAAGAGGAGACGGTTTAGGCAAGTTCTTACTTCAGTTTCATTTTATACTGAGGCTGAAGCACCAGAAATCTCTCACTTCTAACCAATCCAGTCTATACACACTATTCTTTGAAAAACTTGCTTATGGATCAATCAGAAGAATTTCTTCTTTCAGTATTAGCTGAGCCCATATTAATTATTTCTCTTGAATTAATTAGATTCTTCTTTTATGAGACTACTTCAATTTCCAGTGTCATTAGGCACAATAGAGAAAAATCCCAAGTTCCGAGCCTTGGTACACTTCAGTACCCAAATACTGGGAGAATACGATGATCAACCAAGGAGACCTTGAAGAACTGACCTTTGCAATAGGAAGAAAACAGCCAGGCCATGAAGTCAGTTTCACCAGTGAAGAAGAGGGCTGAGCGGTAATATCTAGACTTGTCTGTGTAGTAGCTATTAGTGATTCCAACGTGAATACATTGCAGAGGCAGGTATGGTAAAATCTCATTGGTGGGCAAAACTAATTGAGAGCAGAGTAACTGATAAACATAGCTAAGAACTTGATCAAGTGGCTTTGCTACGAGGAGGAACACAGAACAGAGCAGTAACTGGCGAGGGAAATGAGCTACGACAGTGTTTGTGTTGAGAGAAACAAATAACAGCTTGTAGGAAGGGCACTGTACAGTAGAAATTCGATCATGAGGTAGAGTGTACAACTGCTTATTGATCTTCTTGAGGATATGACTGAATTTGGTGCAACTGGTACTTGTTGAATGAATAGAAGAAGGAATCAATCAATGAATCAGTCAGTCATGAAAGACTGTTTTGTAACATTTATAACACTGTGTGAGAAAAAAACTTCATGTATCAACAAAACAAAATGATACTGCCTTTATAGTCTTTACATAGTATAATATAAACTGCATTATGCAAGCAATTAATTAATACTACAGAAATGAGCAATATATATGACATGAAAATGAAAGAAAAATCAAAATATTTTCTATCTTGAAAGCATATAAAGCATAGATAAAAATACATTATATTTAATCAACTGATAAATTATCTATACTATAGCATTTTAAATGCTTTTGTGCTACATATTATTGATATTAGAATGTAATTAAACTATTACTATAGTTAGTTATATTAACTTTATGGCCAAATTCGTCATTTAACTCAGAGTATAAGAATCAAATAGTAAGAATTGCTATGATACTGTGTAAAAAATAAATTGTCTCTCCTTAGGCAGCTTCATTTATATCCATGTTTCATACTGCTCTTAATGTTCTGGTAATTTTTCACTTTTGTCTAGTGTTCCCCTTAGGATTTAGAATAATTTCCCTAAGAACCACATCATTACGAATGTTCTTTTATTTTCCCAACACAATGTACTGCCCAGGAACATATTTTTTCTTTAACTGTTGGTTTCTTTTTCGATTTTCCTAACACCAACATTCTACATATAATTTTATCGTTACAGAGTCACTAATGGCCAGAATTTCATGTCACCAATGGTAAGAATCTTGGCATATATAAATTCCCTGAGATTTCATATTTCCATTTTCAAAGTGAAGCCAATAATAGACAACACATAACTTATAGAGCATTTGTGAGAATGAAATAAGTGAATATGTGCAAAATAATAAAAAAAAATGGCATATGGTAAGTATTCACGGAATCTTAATCACTTAAACACTTCAACCAACTCTGTGTCACCCATACCTCAAGTCCAGGGGTCAAATCTTACACACGGTGCTTCAATGAAATATGAAGACACTCTTTGCTTTTACAGATCCTAGAGGAAGAAAACAAGTACTATATCCAGATCAAACAGCAAATGTAAATACAAATGTAGGGCTGAAATCTATGATTACTTACAAATGACCGTGAAAATACTTGATGGTACATCAGTCTTCAGATCAAAGTTTGAGACTTCATATACTATCAGGTTTTGTCCTATGTCATCTGCAAAGCTAATTTTCAAATTACACATATGCCTCATGTATCCATCTTCTCTGAAATCTAGGTTTAATTCCTAGTATCATCTTAATGTTTCCACTTTAATATTCCCGGAGGTATCAAATAAAATACATTTTTAGAAACAACCTCATAGTCTCACTGTCCGTATTTTCTGGTTTTCAAAAATCCTACTGTAAATGCCTTTGTTTCTATCTGTATTATCTTTGCCCCAGTTCTGAGTTATAAATTATGAAATCCTGACCTACCTTGAATTCAAATCAATGTCAAATTTCACAAATATCTGAGATGCTGTGTCTCAGGAATTTTCTTCAAAAAGTAGGACTGCCTATTTAGGAAGATGGACAGTCTGTGTTTATGTGGTATGCTGTGTGCATGCGTGCATGTGTGTGTGTGTGTGTGTGTGTGTGTGTGTCTGTATGTGTGAGAGAGACAGAGAGATCTGAAAATAGTGGTGTGAGTTTACATGAAAGCATTAGTGAACAAGTGAGCTTGAACTCCTACCTAATCTACAGCAAATTTCTTGCAGTAATACTGTCAAAGGAAGAAATGGAATATTTCAATATGTATTAGAGCTCAACAATTGGAAATTTAGGCATGAAATAAAAACTCACAGGAATACAATACAACTCAGGGACTATGCTAAGAGTTTCTTGTTTTTGCCCCTTTCATCTCATTTATTTCTTAAAATACCTTTGTGAGATATTATTAACTCTCTTTTACACATTAGCAAACCAGTACAAGAAGCCTCTTCCACAGCACAGAATATTAATAGCCATTAAAACAGTAGGCAAAAATATGTAATTATGTGGAGAAAATCACAAAAAATATTAATGACCAAATTTTGTCATGTAAAAGTGTTGTATGAATTCATACATATTTTAAACTTTGAAACACTTAATGCAAACTGCAGTTCCCAGGGGTATTCTCTGAAGGGGAGATTCTGACATCTGAGTTTGGACCCCAGTATTTGTTGTACCCCAGTGGATAAAAGAGGGAGGGTGGTCAGTGGGGGTCATAGAGGAAGGTGCAGAAGGCCATAGAGAAATGTTGCCATGTGATAGAAAGTAACAGGTAGAATCAGCGGCCCACTTTAGAAAGGCAAGCAGCAAACAGAGAACTAGAAAACAAATGCAAAGATCAGAACACCGAAGTGGCATGAGTAAGAATCCCACCATATCTGAAGAGCGAGGAACACAGAATAGCAGCTCATTTCTTCACAGTAGGCCATAGGCTCTGATGCCAGAGCAAATAATCTTGGTAACATTTACTCAAATATCGCTATGGCTATATTTTGCTCATACCAACTACCTACACTGAAATGGCCTCCCTAAGGATGGGAAAGCTAACTGGGACTGGGACTCAGCCTCTGCACATTTTCTGGCTGATCCATCCTGCAAGATTGTTTTTAACTTAAAAAAGTTTTTTTTTTTTTTTCTGGTCAACATTTGAGGTCTATTACATAGTATTTTCCTGCCATAAAATTAAAAATATTATGGGTAAATCTTATCTTCTCATCAAGATTGTGAGTTCCTTAATCAATAAGACTTCACTTTTGTGTGTCACTGCATGAAGCTTTTAATGCTGTGCCTTACATGTAGATTCTCTCCATAACCACGTGTCAAAGTACTGAATAAGACATGCATAAGAATTCTTCTCAAGCACTAAATAGCAATCTTAGCAGAAATAAAACTAGATTATGGTCTGTACAAAATATTTTAATATAATACATATGAATTTAAAATAAAATGTTAACAAGGAGTTGAGAGTTCCTTATAGTGCATCAACATTTAAACTAATGTTCCCTAAGAACTATAATTCATGCCCTTATGAACAAAGAGTATTCCACTGCTATTAATTTACAATTATATTTTATAAGTAAATATATAGGCTAATGAATTATCCTGACAATAAAAGAAACATATAGCCTATTACAATAATTCCTTAAATTATACTATGAGAGAATGCAATACTTCTGCTTTAAAATTATAGGATTTTGGGTAATTTTCTCAAAATGAGCTTAGAATTTTGGCTTCTTGTGGACCATATGAGCTGCAGAATTCACCATTTTTTTCTACTTGTTGAATGCTTACCCTTGCAATGATTTTTCCCAAAAACATTTTCTATGATTACCGAGGCTTTAATATGTTTATCCATTAACTGTTAATATCCTACATAATCATATTATTATACTGTTTTTGAATTATGTATGACATATTTCATATAAATTATCACAAATATTTCTCACCATAATTAATAATTTTAGAAAGAAAGCGTTTTTATGTTAATTTAGTGGACACAATGTAAATTCAGGGCAAATGTTAAAAGACACAAAGAAGAGCTACTAAAAGGTACAGAGTAACCAGAGTCATGTTTTTTGATTCGTCCCCTAATGTTCTCTTTATCAATGTGCTATTTATGTCTTAGATTCCAGCATCTTATCATCATCTGTCCTCATTAACATTTTGATCTAGGTACTTCAATTACTTAGGCAGATTAAACACTCCTAGCGGCCACAGATTTCATTTTAACATTTTGGTTTCCATAAATTAGCAAAGTAGCTCACAAGCAGCAGTCATTAAGAAATGCTTAGTTGTTGATACGGCTTGTTTCATTTCCAAATATGTATTACAGCCCAACCAAAAAAGAAGTAACAAAGGCAAAACAACACAACAATGGCAACCAAACTTCCTTTAGTGTAGCTTTTAACAGCTCATTTTCTAAAAGGAATAATGTCTCTCTATGTAGACATATATTTCATTTTAAAAATTTAGAACTTCACTTATATGGAAAGAAAGCAAATTATTGATCTAGGAGTAAATATGGAAGCAGCTTCTCTATTATGTGATTTCCTTCTACTGCAAACTATTAAATGAGAATCTCAGAAAAGCATCACAGAAAATTACATTTTTAGGAAACTCTACCAGATCATTCCTACACCCACTAAAGTTTGTGGATAGTTGCACATAAAATCTCACACTTTCATTTGCTCCTCAACATAACTAAGAGGTACTAACACATGCAGGAGCTGTTGTTTAATTACTTACATTGTCTTTTCAGAATTTATGAATTTTATTTTCTTTGAATAAAATGTTAATTACCATATATAAGCTAAACTACCAGGTGATAAGAGATGCTTTTCTCCACAATAATAATTTTCTTGTAGGAATACAAAAGAAGAACACTTCCACATGTTAAATGTTCTATTTAGGGGGCATTATTATGCTTTGGATTATTATCTTTACAAATTTGCCACAACTTTTGAAATTGAACAAAACTATGTAAGCCATTTTTCAGTCTAAATTAACCCACATTGAAGGAAGAATGCTCAATTTAAAAGTTGAACCATGTTTTAAGTAATGAAATGTATGAAGACATATTTATAGCCAAATGTTCTCTTTATACTTTAATAATAATTTAGCTTTTAATAATTCATGTCATGAGAATGCAGCCCCAAATTCTGATTAAAAAGGTTATAGGCACTTATGTATGAACAGTCTGTCAGTAATAGTTCAGATAGCACTAACTTTGCCACTGTTATAACATTCCTCCTACTTAGATGTCAAATGCATAAAGTTTCAGCATTTCAGAGAGAGACTAATAAATTAAAAATCATCCAAGGATTACATTTTATATTTAGTAAATAATGCAAACATGCAGAGAAATATCTTTTTTTTTTTTTTGCTGGACTAATATTGCTATTTAGAAATACATAAAAATGAATTACATTTTCTCACTTCTGTCAAACAAAAAGTCAAATTATTTCTACTAAATTCTTCCTGTGGCAGGTATAAAAAAATAGTAATGCCTACAGCTGGTGTCTTCTTCATGCTGAGGCAGTCAGAAAGTGTGAATGATTAAAAGACTAATCAATACAATTTGCATAATCAATAGGATCTAAGATCTCAGGGCCTTGCACTTTTTAGTCTACATGTCTAAAAAGGAAGACAGAAAGAAGACAGAGAAAACAAGAGCTTTGGCCCTGGTTTTGCATATTTCAAAGTATACATTATATGAAAAAAAATGTGATCCAGGTCAAATTTTTCCTCAGGTCAAATATTTCCTCAGGTCAAATATTTTTGATACAACTCATATTTATTGATAATATGAAAAGTAAATAAAGTTGAATAAACCTAACGCCAGACAAGGTTAACTAATACAACCTCAAAGATATTTTCTGAGACAACTGATCAATGTCACTGATGTAATAATATAGTGTCAGTACATGTGTGATTCTATCAATAGTGAGGAAACATTTGTTTTTATTATTATCTATGTAAAACACTTTACCATTAGAAAAAATTAGGCTGTTAAATTGCTTTGTAAATAACTTCAAAACTGATCATCTTTCCCATAGCCTCTGGAAAAGCTGACCTAAGTAGCTTACAAAATGTCCTATCTATAATGCTGAGGAAAAGCTCAAGGAAATCTTTTGATAAAAAAATGATTGTTATAATCAGTTTGCAAAACTTTATTTTTGCAAAACAAAAGCTGACTGTATACAGGAGATAAGAGCTTCTAATCCATTCCATGTTTGGAACAAGGATCATGAAAGTTATTTTGCTCCCCAAATCTTCCATTTTGAATGTCGAACACCCTAAAACTACTTTATCATTTTTTGTACATAGCCTTTAATTGAACAAAACACTAACAGAATTATCCTGGAATCAGACATCCATATATCAACATAAGTTTACTTCTGAAGATATTTTCATTCTCGCAGCTATCTGAAAATATTCGCCTGAAGGAAGAATAACTTAGGAAGAAATAAGGAACCAAAAACAACTTTTAGTCAATGTGTAGCACGAATGCATTCTGAG